GTGGGAAAGGACCTTTCTCTGCCTGAGCTCTTAGAGACCCACTGTGTCAGTTAGAGAAGACCATTCTGAGCAAAGAAGGACCAGTGGTCTGACTCCATATATAAGGCAGCTTTGGCTATGGCGCATTAACAGTGTGATGGGTTTTAAAAAAGAATTAGCTGTTATCTGGAGACAGTTTGTACATTCAGCTTTCCAAAACAAAGCCCTCACTTTGTCTTTAGGAGGCAGTTGAAGACGATTTTATTTAGAACTGCATTTGGTTAAGTTAAGCTGTTAGTGGTCCTGAGTTGTGATTTTAAATTTGGCTTTTATGTTTTTAAGGTATTTTATTTCATGTGTGTTTTGTCTATGTTGTAAGTTGCTTTAAGTTCTGTAAGGAAGAAAGGTGGCTAATAAATTTTCTAAATAAGTACATTAAATGGTTTTTCAAGAGGTAACCCAATTCTCTTCTATCTAATATTCCTGGAACATTGAACACAATTTTGTCATCTTCATTCTATCCCATATTGTTAATAACCATTCTCTTTTGCTAGGAAATTGGGGTTTTCCTGTATCTAGAGAAAACTATTCTTGTTCCTGTAGAAAAGAGCAAGAGTCCAGTAGCGCCTTAAAGACTAACAAAAATTTGTGGCAGGGTAGGAGCTTTTGTGAGTCACTGCTCACTTCTTCAGATACAAAAGCTCCTACGCTGCCACAGATTTTGTTAAGTCTTTAAGGTGCTCCTGGACTCTTACTCTTTTCTACTGCTACAGACTTAACACAGCTACCCATCTTGATCTGTTCTTGTTCCTGACAGGGTGGCATGATTAACTGCTGAGGTAAATAAATGCATAACCTGAAAAAAGGGGGGGGGGAGTAGATCTAAACAAAAGCATCCAATTCGTCCTCTATAATAAAGAAGAGGAGATTGGATTTATACCCCGCCCTTCACTTGGAGTCTCAGAGCGGCTTACAAACTCCTTTCCCTTCCCCTCCCCACAACAGACACCCTGTGAGGAGGGGGGGGGGCTGAGAGAACTCTGACACAAACTGCTCTTTCAGGAACAGCTGTGCCAGAGCTTGTAACTGACCCAAGGTCACATCAGCAGGTGCAAGTGGAGGAGTGGGGACTCAAACCCGGTTCTCCCAGATTAGACTCTGTGCACTTAACCACTACACCAAACTGTTACTTTCCCCCCAACCTCATGTGGCAATACACGACTAACAAATAATCACCACAGAGAACTATTGCTTGGTATACTTGTAGGAAACACTGGGGACTGTTAAAAGAATGCAGTACTTTCCCCACACACACCCTCTGCAGCTTGAAGAGAGGCAGTCCATTCAAGCAGTCCAGGATTGTACCACTTCTTACACACCTTGATCCGGCCTTGGAAGACCTGATTGAGTGTATCTTTCCTCCCCATCTAAAGAAAACATCAAAATTTCACGACCCCTTTTTCACTGTTCCCACATGCCCCTGGGTATGTTATGAACCAGCATTTTCTCAGCAACTCTGAGGCATACTTTCTCCCTATATTAATATTGGTGACAACACACTGCTCTGCGGAAGAGTAAGCATCAACTGCCCTCACAGGAGTCCTAAACACATATATGTTATGCTTGAGCCACTGTTCCGATTGTGCTTTGGGAGTGGAAGGAAACAAACCCAGTTCCGTGACTCGTCAAAAGACACGGTGGGGCCCTGACCTGGATAGGCCAGGCGAGCCCGATCTCGGAAGCTAAGCAGGGCCAACTCTGGCAAGTACTTGGATGGGAAGGCCTCCTCGGAATACCAGCAGTAGGGAGGCAGGGGCAGGCTTTATTCAGCCACCTCTCTGAATATCCTCCAGGCCCCCAGGAGAGGTCAGTCACCAGAGGTTGCCATGACTTCAGGTGCACACACACACACACATTAAAAACAAAACAAAAAAGACACAGAGAGCAGTATCCTAGGAAGGTAAGAATTCTACATCTTCTGGTGTTAGGGCTGCATTAAATGATACCCAATCCAGAGATTTTTTTTAAAACATTACCCTACAGACTGAATTGTAACCCAATAAAACTAAGAACAGAAATCATTGTTTCACAGAAAACAGGCATAACATACAGAGTTCACTATTGCACCGAGAAGCACTGGTGACAGCCTGACTTATCGCTCCTATGAAGTACTACTTTACACAGAGAGTGATTAGAATGTGGCATTCGCTGCCTGAGGATGTAGTGTCGGTCACAGGAATAAACAGCTTTAAACGGGGATTACAGAGATTCATGGAGGAGAGGTCTATCGGTGGCTACTAGCTGTGGCGACAGGGGATCCTCCGCATTCAGCATCCCAAATCCAGGAGGCCACATCAGGGGAAGACCTCATGTAGCCCAGAGGCACTGCCTTGCTCTCGGGTAGCCTCAACGGCAGGGGCACCGCACTCCTGACCTGAACCAGAGTCCCACAAAGCCAGGCCAAAGACACCACTCTTTGAGCCACAGAGCTCTGCAAAAAGGGATTTCGGTTTTAGGTCTGCACAAAAAGCGGCCCTCTGAGGCAATTTTCCAATCTCCCTCTCCACCTGACAGAGTTATGCATACGGAAACAATCACGAGTTCCCTGGTATGGTATCTGTATTTCCATAAACTATTCAGTGGCCACCTGGCGAATCGCCCTTCTGTCTCCAAACCTGCACGTAGTCCCTTTTGTGTGCGACTCCTATACCTATGAGGAAACTCTTTTGTCTAAACCAACTGTCCTTCCTGCCCCATCCCTCAGGATACTGAGATAAAGCTAATCAGTTTAATCAGCGATCCTTCCTGATGCCAATCAGGGACCCATTTCCCACCTTTTGTCTAAAGCTGGGAATCTATTCCATCTACCTTGGCCAGAACCATCAGTGGCCATCAAACCCAGCCAGCCAGCTCCGGTTGGACCATTTTTGAACATTAAACCTATTACGTTCTGGCCCAGACCACACCCAGAATTCCTATAAGAATAGAAAGCATGCACCACCTCAGTGTGCACTCTTAAGGGGGGCGCCATTACTGAGTACACCGCCAAAGTCTCTTCTTTGGGCCTCCATAGCTTGAAACACTGGCTATTTGCGCTAACCTCTTCATGGACTTCTGCATGTCTGGACAGGTAGTATAACCCCTGTAATTGACCCTAGACTTCACTATCATCTCCTCTTTTTTCTTAGTTCTGAACTGCTTGTTCGCTCTCGCCCTCTCTTTCTTTTGAATGCTTAGTGTGATTGTAATCAGGGAAATTCTTCAATAAAAACTAATCACTCTTAAATCTGGAGTCTTCCTACTGCACTGGACCTCGGTATATATGTGTGTGGTCCCTGGTACCCCTCTGGCCTCCCCTGCCGTCTAATAATTTCTCCTAAGAATGAGGCAGGCCACTGGCAGTAACACTCAGCCTCTATGCTGTGTTGTTTGCTGACGAGAGGAACTGGTCAGCCACTGTGTGATACAGGAGGCTGTGTTAGATGGACCATTGGTCTGATCCAGCAGGGCTCTTCTTAGGTTCCTAGTAAAGGAAGCAAAAAAAAATATATGCATAGATAATATTAGGCCACACTGGATCTTAACTTTGGGAAGGTCTGCAAACACTTCTACTGCCTCATTCGCTTCATCTGATCTGCTGCTGGAAGTCAGCTTTCATCAGAGGAGGAACAATTATGCATGGGGATGTATTACTTAACAAGACCTTGCCATGGATAGGTTAAAAATATATAATTAAAAGTAATTACGTTTATAAGGATTTATTACAAAAGGGGGAAACAGAGAATGTGCATGGAAACGAGATAAACAGCATTACAGTTCTAAAAAATCAGGAAAGACGGTAGAACTCTCCCTTTTACTCAGGTAACTTGAAATTTCTTTGACAGGAGGTAAAACTCATTCAGTATTCAAATTGCCATTAAATATTGCGAGTGGGCCTACTATTTCCCTCTCACCACTGCATCAGTGAGGAAATGGAACTGCTGCCACCCCGTGCCATTGCCCTGTAAGCCAGACATTTCAAATTGCCATTAAATATTGCGAGTGGACCTACTATTTTCCCCCTCACCACTGCATCAGTGAGGAAATGGATCTGCTGCCACCCCGTGCCATTACCCTGTAAGCCAGACAGGTAGGGGCAGTGGCCCTTCAAGAGGGAGGGGGCAGGCAGAGGAGGGAGGGCAGGGGACCCACCGTTTCCCTCTCACCACTGCATCAGTGAGGCAGGCGATGGCAGCACATTAGGTTGACAGCACGGCAAATGGAGGAAGGATGGGATTCCCCCCCACACACACACTTCCAAGTCTCATGGAGCCCCTTGCTTGTTATCACCAGATTTTCCTGAAATGTAGATGACACATTAGTATGACTGTCAATGCTGAGAGCAAGTGTGTTGCAGTGCACAGTGTGATAAACTTGAACTGATGAGGCCTGGGTTCAAATTCCTGCTCAGCTAGAAGATTGCCAGCCTCCAGGTGGAGCCTGGAGATCTCCCAGAATTACAACTCATGCCCAGATGACTGAAATCAATTCCCTTGGAGAGAATGGCTGCTTCAGAGGACGGCCGCTATGGCCTTATGAGCCCATCTGGTCCCTACCCTCCCCAGCTCTGCACCCCAACTCTCCAGGACGAAGCTCACTCGCTCTTGGCCTAACTTCCCTCACAGGGTCATGGTGAGGATAAAATAGGAGCTCCCAGTTCCTTGGAAACACAAAGGAGAGGGAGACAGCTGTGTGGATGGAAAGGCGCTATAGTGATTTGAAAAGAGACACAAAAACAACAGGAAGAGAAGCCTTAATGTAAGCATAACCCAGCAGGACCCTGGCTACGCAAATCCACCTCCGGATTTTCTGTCCGACTGCAGAGTTGTGGATGGATCAAGTCAATAAATGATGGCACCCTTTGGGGCTTGTCAGGCAGTTATGAAATGGCTTCTCCTTCCCTCCAAAAAACCCCCTCCAAGCAGCACAGTTTTCAAGATAACATAAGCTTATAATAAACATAACACCTTTTCAACCTCTGGTATAACTGAAACACAAGTGCTTATGAACACAACAACCTTGACAGGGACAGGATCTTCAGTGCCTATCATTAAGGGCAGGCTGAAGACAGGCAAATCCTAACAGATGGTGTCCATTAAAGAGGAAGTCCCAAATAGTAACTGAAACATGCAGGGCCTCTTCTTCTTCTGTTCGGCCTGCATTGGTTCCTCTCGTCCTTGAGGAGAATAGAGGTGAGAGAAGGCCCAGGGAGGTTGTGTGGAGTTCTCCTTTAGAACAAGCCTGTTATTCTTCACAGTGTGAAATGCGTTACTGTTGCTTTCAGAAATTATTTATTTATTTATTTTGATTTATATCCTGCCTTCTCTGGTACAAAGGGGGGGGGAGGTACAAAGGGGGGGAAAGGAATGCTGGGAAATGCCACCATTTTACTCAAGTCAATTTTGGTGGCTGGGAGCCCGGAGAGACCGCTACAGGACTCAAAAAAGGGGGGCTCTTGAGAAATAATATTTTCTTATTGGTGGTCCTAGTGTGAAGAAAAGGTCTTATGAAGAGATTTTGAGGTGGCCTTTTGAAGGCACCCAAAAGAAGGGCAGGAGGGTCTCTCCTGGGAAGGAGGCTCCAGAGAACTCGTAGAGAAGGGCTGCTCAGTCAGCGTCGAAAAAGGCCACTCGACCCCCAGTGTAGTTCAGGCACACTCGGATCCTCTTCAGCTCCCCGGTTAGGGTCAGGGGAGGGCTGCCTCTTTTGGCAGCTATGTACCCCACTGGCAGCTTCCGCACAGCCCAGATCCCTTTCTCAGGATGCAAGAAAAGCTCTCCCTTCCTGCTCACAGACTGTCTGGCCACCCCCACAGCCCATTCTTTCTCACTTCCCACAAGGACTTCCCAGAAATGGCGGCCTGCTGTGAATCCCTCATGGCCCAGCACAGCACCACTCTGGTCAAATCTCTCAGGATTGTTGGGCAGAGCTTGAGCTTTTTCTCGTCTCACGCGTTTCTGACGCTCAGACAGGATGAGTTCAGGATGGGCCGTGTCTGGATCCAGAGTCACATTTGCTGTTGGGAGGAAATGAGGAGACAAGAAGAGAAACAGCATCAGCTGGGAAGATTTGACCCTCTGGCCTGTTCGGTTTCCTTCTCGTGCCAGTCATGGCCTTCTCCCACCTCTTCCACCCTTCCCTAGTGTTATATGAGCTTTGCTCGACTCCAGCCGGTGGCACAAACTCAAACAGGCACCCCCCTTTCCTTTTTCTCATACCCACAGCGGTACCTCTTCCACCAATGTCTCCAACTGCCCTATCTTCGTTTGTAGCTCTGCTGGTGGTTCTAGTAGTTGCATGCACATTTCCAATTTAGCCGTGGGCATTTCTGATCTTATTTCCTCAAGGGTACAATGTATACTTGCCAGTAATTTTGTCAACAAATCTCTCCCTAATAAATGAACGGGGCCGTTTGTCATCAGGAATGCATCTTCTCTTGTTAAAGACCTATCATTATCCTTTGCATCTTGGAAACAGGACAGATCCTTGGCTTCCCCTCTGTTCCCATGACCCATTCTGTTTTTCCTGATGACTGGTCCTTCAGGAGTGGCAGGGAGGACAGAGTTGCCCCTGTATTCACCAAACAGCTATACTCATGGTTTCCTATACACAGTGATATATAAGGTTTCTCAACGGATCTTGTAATTATTATGACTTCCTTCCCCACCAGGTCACAGGCCCTCTCAGTCCCTTCCAGTCACTCCTCGTCCTCTGTGTAATCTACCAATCACCTTAAACCTTCTGATCCCCTTTCCCTCTTTCTGGGCATTCTCGCTTCCAATGCCCCATTTCCCCACATATATAGCATCCCTGCCTTCCCTCACTATTCCCAATTTCCCCCTTGTCCAGGACCTCTTCCTCAGCCACTATATCCTCCCCTTAAGTGGACACCACCTCCCCAAGTTCCAACTCCCATTCCCATAGCTAATATTTTCACAGCCTCTTCCTCCTTCTGCCTCCAACTTGCATGTTTCCTAGTCATAAAAATGTGTGTAGCGACTGACATTACTTGTAACATGGTCATCTCATTGTAATCCTCATGTTGATATAACACCTTTCTTATATCCCTAGAAACCTGAGCCTTTAATAATTCTCTCACCGGGGGAACTTGACTCTCAGCCTTAGGATCTACCCCCCCCCCCCATACATGGACACAGCCTCTTCCAGTCTTCGGAGGAAATCCCCTGGGGACTCTTCTGGACCTTGTATGACATCGTGGATCTTTTGCCAATCTACAGGCTTAGCACTGACTCACCTCATTGCCTGCACTACTCCTTTTCTTAAGATGTCTATATATTGTTGTCCCACTGGGGAGTTATAATCCCAATCTGGATCGGTTTCTAACATGCTGGTGGTGACCAGAACTTGTCCTGCCAGCCTCCCATTTGCCAATGGTGCTCCTGATGCCAGTTTTGATCCTTGGCCACTCATAGCCTATTACTTTTCACTGGGTCCAGCTCTCGTAGACATGCTTCCAATTCTTTTTGTACCTGCTAGGGAGAACTTTGACTGGCCCAAGATCACCCAGCAGGCTTTATGTGGAGGAGTGAGAAATCAAACCCAGGTCTCCAGGTTAGAGTCTGCTTCTCTTCACTACTGCACCACGCTGGCTCTCTCATAGAAAGAAGGGACAAAAATGGGGAGGACGGGGACGTAACCCTGAAACCTGGGATACAGAACCTAAAAAGGTAAGTCCAATAGAACAGAGGGCCAACAATAAAAACTTAATTATATAGTATGAAAAGATACATGTATTTATTAACAAAGAATTAAAAAGCATATAAGGGCCCAATCACACCTCATGTAAAAATGCCAAATATAGGACAATTTTACTGAGGACGCTTTGGCTATACAATCTTTGGAAGGCACTTTCTGGACCAGAAATTATTATCAGTGAAACACCATCTGGCATGTGATTGCACCTTTGGAGGCCTCATTTATACTTTTATTCTGTGCCTAGTGGTTTCACTTTGGAACAGTTCTTTTCTGGTCCATCTTGTATCTATGTTACATAATTATATGATTGCATTGCACTATGATATAAGCCAATATGCTCCTCAATATGTTTGACCTCTGAAGAAGGCCTATGCAGGCCAAAACGCGTCAGGTCAAGTCCACTGGCCCTTGTGTGCTAAATTTTGCCATTCTTACATGAGGTGTGATTGGGCCCTTATATGCTTTTTAATTCTTTGTTAATAAATACATGTATCCTTTCATACTATATAATTAAGTTTTTTATTGTTGGCCCTCTATTCTGTTAGACTTACCTTTTTAGGTTCTCTCTCCTAGAAAGACCCAGGTGCTCTAATAGTGATTTCCACATAGGGATGGGTTTGCATGGTTTCCCTATTATCAGTGCAGCTGATGATAAAGCGCAGCAACAACAGGGCTTATACAGGCAGTAAAATCCACTTAGAGAAAGCAGACACTCCACCTGGTCTGTGCCTCTCAAGGGGAGGAGCTGAAAGGTCCTCAAGTGCTATTGCCCAGCAGTCATTCTACCATCATTCCAATATGGCGGCAGGAAGTTAAAAAGAGGCAGTTAATCCCCTCAGAGTTCACCTTTTCTTTCACCCTTACAGACCTCCTCAGAACAAGAAGGAACTGGCTGTGGCAGGGAGGGTAAGGTTTAGAGGAACAAAACAAAAGCATTCGATATTGTTCTCTGAGAACAACAAGTAGAAGAACACAAATTGCAAGCTTTTTAGTTTAGAAATAATTGATCTGTGTATGAAGAAAAATGTACCTTTCTGCAGGTGAAATCCAGAATTCAGTGTGTCTGAGGAAGCAAAGCAACAGAAGGTGAGTAGCAGACCCTTGTGCTTATCAGAAATCTTAGGACAAAAATATCAGCTAACAATACTGTCTAATTTCTCTTGGGGTCTGAAATCCCTGCAGCATTTCTTCATTACCTTTGAATTGCTTCTTGATGCCCTCCAAAAGGGGACTTAAATCTGAGAAGTCCCAGATGCGCCACTTCAGTGCAACAGGAAAAGCCACTGGATTCTCAAATGCCTCCTTTGTACCTGGAGAAAATCCCGTTAAGATGCCATCAAATTCAGAATCCTGCCCCCCCATAAAAAAACAACAGAAAAAAGAACTGGGAGAAAGGCTGAAGCTGAAAGCAGAGCAAGATGGGGGGGGGGCCCTCTTTGGAGAGGAACGCTCACAGAACTGTAGCTCCTGTTTTGTTAAGAATTGGGCCTGGGTTCTGCACAGCCATACAGCAGCTGCGGGGAATGGCTACCACAAAATAAAACAGAGCCCTTTTGGGCTTAGCTTGCCTCTGGGGGGGGGGGCACTCCTGCCTCCCCCACCAGCCATTTTCCCACACTGAAATAGCACCGGGGAGGTTATTTTTACTGCTCCTTGTGCAGTACTTTGTGCATGTGGAACACCAAAAACAGGGAAACTCCCTGCCCCAACACTGTCTCGGCATGAAGGAGACAGGAGCCCTTCCTTTCTCACAGTGGCCTTTGAGGCCTGAACAGGGTCTGCTTTCTTTTTAATAGCCATTTGTGCTTCAGCTGCTCTGTAGCACTTCAGAGCCCAGACCAAACTCTTAAAAAAGCAAACGTCTAGATTCCCCTAAGAACAGCCAACTCATGTCCCCTGCTTATATTTATCAAATGTCTAGATAATGAAAAAGAAAGCTGGTGAGAGTTCTGGACGAGGACAGTAGGACCCTGGTTCAATCCCACTCAGCTCAATGGGTGACGTCAGACCAGTCTCTCTCTCAGACAGGGTGGTTAATGTGAGGAGAAAATAGAGGAAGGCAGAATCAAGTACATCGCGTTGGTGTCTTTTCCTCCCTCTCGCACAGTACTAGAACTGAGAGGAATCCAATGAAGTTGTTGAGAATTGACTGCAGGTTGAGGTGGTGATGGCCACCAGCACAGAGAGCTTTCAAAGGGGATTAGACAGATTCATGGAGATCCATCAACAGCTACTAGACTCGGGGACTGAAGGGAGCCCTTCAGAGGTAGCAAACCTCTGAGCACCAGGACTAGGAGGCAGGGGAGGGCCTCAGCCTCTGTCCTTGGTTGGACTGGCCCTTCAGGACAACTAGGTGGCCACTGCAGGAAGCAGGATGCTGGCCTAGATGGACCACAGGCCTAATCCCTTTTCTTAGGTTCTTAAGAGTGTGGTGGATACATGAAGGAAGAAAACACGCCACATGACATAACTGGACCTGCCCATACTTCTCTTCCTGTCAATCATTTGCCATGGGGGGTGGACGTTTGAGCCCAATGTCACATGACAATTCTTCATCTAAACCTACCTGCGGAGAGGTATAGGTAAAATACGTTTCTGATCAACACGCGTGTATTCCCCATAACGGGTTGCTCTGCTTGAGAACACTTTCTTTCAGAAGCCCTGCTGTTACTGAGGCTGCCAATGGCTTCCTGACAGTGAGTTTCCTCGCCCCAGTCACCATGGAGGCCATTCCCTTACTTTGCCCTGGGGGGAGTGGGGCTTTTTTTAAATGGTACTTGACATTATGCCAAGATGCCAATGGCTGATGGGGTGGGAGTCAAAAAAGCACCCTGGTGGCATTGGGGGGCCATTCCCACTTCCCCAGAGCACTGGATGCAGGCCAAAATGCCAGTGTGGAAAAGGCCAAAGTGTCATCTGAGCAGAAACAGCACATTTCAGTGCCACATGGTGGCAGGAACTCTGATGTAAACATAGCACACACTCCACCTCCTGCTTCCTCGTCTGTTGTCTCACCCTACATTCCTACACTCCTTAACACATGGAGCACATGAAGAAGAAGAGGAGGAGGAGGAGGAGGAGGAGGAGGAAGAGGAGGAGGGGGGGAGGAGGAGGGGGAGCCGGCCTCACTCCTTGAAGAGCTACCTTTCTGCTCCCGCCTGGATGGCTGCCAGGTGCAAGTGGAGGAGTGGGGAATCAAACCCGGTTCTCCCAGATTAGAGTCCGCGCACTTAACCACTACACCAAACTGTCTTAACCACTACACCAAACATTGGATTGGGCTGGGTGGTCACCGCAGTGCTCAGTCAGTAAATGCCATTGTAGGCAGCCCCAATGCCCACCAAGGCATTATTTGGGCCAATTAAGTTTACCACCTCCCATTTTCTGGAATGAATGCAGCTGAGGAGACTCGAACTCTGTATGTCATGCCTAGCCCTGATGTGGCCTCAGAAGTAAGACTTGACAGCCAGGGACAGGAGGAGGACTTGCCCCCTTTAACAGATAGTGTCATGCCTGCTCTTGATGTAGCCTCAGAAGCAGGGCTTGACAGCCAGGACTTGGCCCCTTTAACAGAAGAAACTGGCTCTGTCATGACAGATTGCCAGCACCCCCACACGCTCACTCATTTCCACCATGGAAGACGAAGCGGCAGGAGGGTCTGACCCTCTTCCAGGAGTATTAAGCCAGGTGCAACAGTTAACTCAGGCTGTACTAGCGCTGCAGCAGCAAACAGCCGCGAATGCTGCTGCCTTGGCCGTTTCTGCTACTCCTCCACCACGCTGCCCTGTGAATCCCCCAGACAGGTTTGGCGGAAATGTAGATGAGTTTCCTGCTTTTCTCGCTCAATGTGAATTATATATGGAACTCCGTGACCGGGATTTTACTACAGACAAAACCAAGGTCTGTTTTATCTTGAGCCTTCTTAAAGGGCAAGCTGCCAAATGGGCCCTTGCTAGTGGGGAGCTCCCCCTTACTGTCTAATTACCAGGGCTTCAAGGCTCATTTCTCTGCCGCCTATGCCAACCCAGTGAAAGCTGAGACAGCCAACCGTAAGATCCGGGCACTCAGCCAACGGAAAACCTCGGTCTCTCAGTATACCACTGAGTTCCAACTGATCGCCCAAGACCTGGCTTGGAATGAAGCAGCACTCATGGATCAGTACACTGAAGGACTATCCGATGAAATCCTGGATGAGTTGGCTCGCAGTGAACGCCCAACTACTCTGCAAAACCTCATCCACTTATGCCTCCGTATTGACGGGTGGCTGCAAAGCCGCTGCCAGAAAAGAAAGCAGTACAGCGTCTCTTCCAGGACCCTTCCGACGCTACCAAGGGCCCCTTCTCCTGGCCCCTCTACGCTCTCTCCAGACACAGAACCAATGCAATTGGGTGTGGCTCGCCCCCGCCTTACTCCTGAGGAGAAGCTGCGACGGCGCACCCAAAACCGGTGTCTTTATTGTGGAGAGGCGGGGCATTTTTCCTTCGGCTGTCCCACCAAACGAAAACACCCAGCTGTTCCAGCCCCAGGGGGAAAAGGACAGCCCCAAATCTGACCGGACCCCCCGGTTTGGGGCATACTCTGGGGTCCTCCAGCTCCTCCTATCCACCTCAGGCCCCTTTCCTGTTGCCGGTACGTTTACAGCTCCCGGATGGAAGATGGCTATTCATCCATGCCATGCTGGACTCAGGTGCCGCCTGTTGCTTTATGGATATTCTCTTTGCCAGAGAACATGGCATCCCCACCCGGGAAAAGAAAAACCCCGCTCTCGTTGAGGCCATCGACGGACGCCTACTCCTATCCAGCCACTCACCCTATGGGTCCATCAACATCAGGAAAAGTTGACTTTTGACTTGGTAAGGATGCTTCAGTTCCCCATCATTCTGGGTCTTTCTTGGCTACGCCTGCACAATCCTCAAGTCGACTGGGTTCACCAGGACCTCCACTTTGCACCTATCTCCTCGACCACATCCTCAGTAGACCCTAGCGAAGAACTCTCATCCCCAGCATTTCCGGCAGATTCCACACCAGCTGCTCTGCTGCTAGGGGCCACTACATCCTTGCCTGCTTGCTATCAATCATTCTCGGATGTGTTTGATGAAAAGGAAGCAGATCAGCTCCCCCCGCATCGACCATACGATTTGTGCTATCAATCTTCTACCGGACGCTCCCTTGCCCACCGGTCGCTTATATCCCATGTCAGAACCAGAGCTGGTGGCGCTACGGGACTACTTAGATAAAAACCTGGCCCGAGGGTTTATTCGGCCTTCAAACTCTCCACTGTCCTCTCCGGTTCTCTTCGTCAAGAAGAAGACGGGAGACCCCCGACTCTGCAATGATTACAGGGCCTTAAACAAAATCACGATCCGAGATCGTTACCCGCTCCCCTTGATTCCGGAACTACTGGACCGCCTGAAGGGCGCTCAGATTTACACCAAGCTCGACCTTCGCGGGGCATATAACTTGGTCAGAATCAAGGCGGGAGACGAATGGAAGACAGCCTTCGGTACCCGGTACGGCCAATATGAACATCTGGTCATGCCCTTTGGATTAACCAACGCCCCCGCGGTATTTCAACGTTTCATGAACGATGTCTTCCGCGACCTCCTTGACCGGTTCGTGATAATTTACTTGGACGACATTTTGGTTTATTCCGTCTCCCTGCCACAACACATAGAGCATGTACGGCAAGTGCTTCACCGCCTTCACGCCCATGGGCTGTATGGCAAACTGGAAAAGTGTGCTTTTCACCTCAGGTCAGTCGAGTTCCTGGGCCATATCATTTCACCCCAAGGAACCCTGATGGACCCCAAGAAGGTGGAGGCCATTCTCCAGTGGCAAACTCCACAGAACCGGAAAGATGTCCAACGCCTCCTCGGCTTCGCCAATTACTATCGCCAGTTTATACCAGCCTATGCTGAGCTGACAAAACCCCTGACCCGTCTCCTTCGGCCAAAGGAACCCTTCCAATGGACCTCAGAAGCTGAACACGCCTTCGCTATTTTGAAACAGTGCTTTGCTTCCGGCCCCCTACTTCGCTACCCCGATCCTCGTCTCCCCTTTACCATGGAGGCTGATGCCTCCAGTGTAGCGTTAGGGGCTGTGCTCTCCCAGCAACATGATCCCACCCAGCCGTTGCAACCCTGCACCTACTATTCCCGGCAACTTTCCGCGGCGGAACGGAATTATACTATCTGGGAGAGGGAGCTATTAGCCATCAAGACCGCCTTCGAGGTCTGGCGTCACCACCTTGAAGGAGCCCGTCATCCAGTTCAAGTACTTACTGACCACAGAAACCTAGAGCAACTCCAGACAACCAGCCGGTTGAACCAACGACAAATCCGCTGGTCCCTCTTCTTCTCCCGCTTCAACTTCAAGATCTCCTATATACCACACACACAAAATCAAAAAGCAGACGCCTTGTCCCGCAAGCCAGAATATGCAACCACTGTAGCCAAAGAAGCACCAAACACCAGTATCCTGCCGCCCACGGTTTTTGCCGCTGCTCCAGACTCTTCTTCCCTCGCCGAGGACATCCGGGCCAGTCAGGCTACGGACCCTTGGGCTCAGGAATGTCTTCTGGAGCTACAACAAGGGGTTTCCAGGGACCTGTCTACCAGGAATGGCTTGCTCTATCATCGAGACCAGATTTATGTCTCCCCAGGACCACTGAGGACCCGAATCCTGCGTCTCACCCATGATGCGCTCCCAGCCGGGCATTTTGGACGACACAAAACAACCCACCTATTGACTCGTGACTTCTGGTGGCCTCGGGTTCGGGCTGATGTGGATCGTTACGTCAGCACCTGCGACGTCTGCCGCCGGGCCAAGGATGTTCCTGCCAAGCCACCAGGTCTCTTGCAACCGCTTCCAGTGCCGTCGGGCCCTTGGGAGGTCATCTCGATGGACTTCATTGTTGATCTTCCCCGATCCCAAGGGTACACCTGCATCTTCGTCATAGTAGACGTACTCACAAAGATGGCTCATTTTGTTCCCTGTCTTAAGATCCCCACGGGGCCAGAAACAGCCCAGTTATACCTACACCATGTCTTTCGGCTGCATGGTATTCCGTTACGTATCATCTCGGATCGAGGTCCACAATTCTTTTCTCGGTTATGGCAGGCGTTGCACCGAGGCTTGGGAACTGAGATTCATCTGTCCTCGGCTTACCATCCCCAAACCGATGGACAGACTGAGAGAACCAACGCCACACTAGAGCAATACCTACGCTGCTATACCACCTACCAGCAGGACAATTGGTACTCCTTACTACCGTTGGCAGAATTCGCCTACAACAACGCGGTACATACCTCCACTCAAGTCACGCCGTTCGCAGCCAACTATGGTTACCACCCACGCTTCTTTTTTCCGGCCAGCCCCCCATCCGATGTACCCGCTGCAGATACCAGGATCCAAGAGCTCCATGCAATCCATGCCTTGCTCCAGGAGCAGCTACAGCATGCCAAGGAAGCGTACAAACTGGCAGCTGACCACCACCGCCAAGAAGGACCACCCCTCAAAGCCGGCGACCTAGTGTGGCTATCCACCCGCTACCTACGGACACCTGGCCGCTCGTCTAAATTGAGCGCCCACTTCATGGGCCCCTACAAGATCGACGCTCAGGTCAACCCGGTGGATTTTCACCTACTCCTGCCTGACCATCTCCGAATCCACCCCGTATTCCATCGTTCCCTCCTACAGCTGGCAGCCCCTCCGGATCCTAACCGGGAAACACCACCCGCGCCACCGCCACCTGTCTTGGTGGATGATAATGAGGAGTACGAAGTCCAGCAGGTCCTCGACTCTCGGTTGCATCGGGGTACTCTGCAATACCTCGTTGACTGGAAAGGTTATGGCCCAGACGATCGTTCCTGGGAACCTGCCTCCCACTTACACGCTCCCGATCTGGTCCGGGACTTCCATGAGGTCTACCCGGACAAACCTGGCCCTTTGAATGTGGGGGGGCCTGAGGGGGGGGATAGTGTCATGCCTAGCCCTGATGTGGCCTCAGAAGCAAGACTTGACAGCCAGGGACAGGAGGAGGACTTGCCCCCTTTAACAGATAGTGTCATGCCTGCTCTTGATGTAGCCTCAGAAGCAGGGCTTGACAGCCAGGACTTGGCCCCTTTAACAGAAGAAACTGCAAGTCCTCAGCTAAAGCCACCTGAGGTCGATCAGGTGCTGGCAAGCACAAGTCAATCTCCACCTGCCTCTCCCCCAGCTGTCAGCAGGCTCCGAGATCGAAGGCGTCAGGAGCTGACTGAGAGGAGATGAGCTGCACGCATGCGTGGGAGACGTTCACTCAGTCGCTTCAGGGAACTAATAAGATAACAAGCCAGCATGCTATTTAAGCAGACCTTTCGCCCTGAATCAATCGTGCTGGCAACTTCGGTTGACAGAACCAGGCACTCTGTGCTACTTTCCTTCGGATCCTCTGACCTCCTGGCAGTTTGTCATTCGGCTTTGGAATTCTGGCTTCTTGACCCTCGGCATCCTGTTTTGACTACGATTTGGCTCTGCGTTACTCTGACTTCACCTGATTGATGGACTTGACCTCTGGAATGTTTGATTCTGGATGTGTGAATTGTTTCGGACTGGTTTAACCGTGTTTCTGACTAAAATCCTTGACTGACTCTGGACTGCTTTGTGGACTTGCTTTGATTCATCTACGCTCCTTGGCTCTGTCGTGACACTGTACTTCTTGGGCTATTTTGTAAAAATGTTGCTTTGGCAGCAGATGCCACCACAACACAAAGATCTTCGCTGTGTGACTGAAAGTTAGCTACGGTGGCCATTTTGTGGCCGGCTCTGCCTCCTGTGGCAACACCCACCACACCACGTCAGAATTCCAAAGGTGGCTGCAGCCCCCAAAAGGTTGGGGACCCTTGTTCTACAGAGGCACAGCGAGGTGTCAGGTCAGACACACACCCCCTTATTTCAGTATACGATGGTCCGTAGATGAGGCTCTGTGCAGAAGCAGTTTCTTACTGACAGACAGATGGAGATCCACGCTCTTAGTTACCCCTGATTTGGACCTGAGTCAAGATCCTGAAGGACCACGTTCTTCACAGGCTACCCAGTCCAATCCCAGCATTAAGAAGGTTAATGTTAAAGGTCCACTTACCTCTGCAAGGTGCTTCTGGCATCCTAAAGAAAAAAGGCAGACAGAGAGAAAAAAATAATCCTCAATGCTTTCTAAAAGATCATATCAGGAAGACCCCTCGTACTCTGCAGGATTCTTCACTCTGGCCTTTTGCTTGTGTCCCACTAGCAGACGTCACTCAAAGGCTGGGGTAGATCTTCATAAGGTGGGAGAAAATCTCTCTGAGGCTAATATCAGCACACAAAGTGGAGCCATTTCAGAGCAGAGCTGGGTGATCTGCTTTGACAATGCAACAGTGGCGACTTTCACAAAGGGATTTTCCCTAACATGGAAGGCAGGAAGCCCTCAGATTTGGGTGTGTACCCCTTGTAGCCACCTGCACACACAGATGTATTCCCAACAACGTTCCTTGCCTCAGTCCTGCGTCACTGTGATTTCCCTTCTTTCCACTAGAGGGCATTTTCCAGCCTTAAAAATAATAGGTAAATTAAAGCCCTTACTGTTGCAGAGTTATATCTGGAAATTTGCAGCCTACACGTCACTTCCCTTAAAATAAGAGCTAGGAATTAGTGCAGCAGATTATAATGTTACCACACTATAGCAATCTAGCTACTGCCCTCTTCTTTAAGGCCTGAGAAAAGCCCAGAGATGGAGAGAGGACGGTTCCCCCGGGACTGAGAGAAGAGGAGCCAAAATCTGTCACCTTATAGCCCACTAAAGGACTCCTCCCCGCCCCCTTTTCCCTGCAGTGTTGCAAGATGGCTCAGTAACGAAAGGGAAGGGAGGGTCTGGGCATAAATGCCATCACATCTGCATGGCCGTCGTGGGCTGACAACGGCAAGCACCGTGGTGCCAGGAACAGGTGTGTGGATGCCATTCCTGTAACCATTTGTGGTTGCTGTTGTCTGTCTGCGGGCATTTCTACGCGCCCACCCGCAAGCAGCCATATAAGCAACATTTCCTACCCCCACAGACATCCTCCTTTCAAAACATGCTGTGCAATATCCCGCATGTGACCCTTGTTCCTTGGTGTTTGTTTTTAAAGAGCTACTTTTTGAGCCTGGCTTTACCTGCATGGGGGTTCCCCAGACTGTTGGTTGAGACACAAACACACTTTGGCTTCTGAGGTGGAAACCGAGCGGCCTCAGTCCACCAGGCAGGGGGCTCGGGGGGGGTAGAGTTTCGTGGGCCACAGGGATTGTCCAGCCTGCCCCTGGCTGGAGATGGAAAGGGGCAGAGGGGAAAACTTCCTAGGAGCATAGCTTTTCTGCTAAGTGAAGGAGGCACAGAGAGGATATGAAGCCAGCCTTCTCCCCAAGGAGAGCCCTGCCCATTCCTGCCACCCCCTCACCTGCAGGAGATCACTGGCCGGCCACTGACTCTTCTCCTCCATCTCTCGGATGAGGCTTTCCAGAGCGGAGAGCTCCTCAGAGATTTCGGCCAGGTGCTGGTCCCTGTTTCTTGCCACCTCCTTCTCCACCTCGTCCATCTGGGCCAGCAGAAGTTTCTCTTGCTTATCCAGGAATGTGTGAAGTTGCCTGAACTGGGTCAGCATCTTCTGCTGTTCTCCTTTGGTTTGCCTCTGAGACGGGAAAAGAAGAAGAATACAATCAGTGTTCAAAGTGGAAAGACGTCCCTGAGGAGACTCCTAATGGAAGAGCACTTTTGACTTTCCCAGAGATCACATCAACATTCAGTAAGAGAACATTTCAGAAGGACCCATCCAAAGGACACACGAATTATCTCTGCATTTACTTCCTTCTCGGAGTGAAGTTTTACTGCACAAAACTCAAACATGACCTGCAATACAAGGCAAAAAGAGCTGGCACTGACCTAGATAGCCAAGGCAAGTCCGATCCCATCAGATCTCAGAGGCTAAGCAGGGCCATCTCTGGCAAGTGCTTGGATGGAGATCTCCAAAGAATACTAGAGGCACGGGCAATCTCTATCCAGCCACCTCTCTGAATATCTTCCAGGCCCCCAGTAGAGGTCAGTCACCAGAAGTTGCCATGACTTCCAGGTGCACACATTCACACCCACACACGCACATAAAAATACAACCCCCCCCAAAAAAAAAAGACAAAATGAGCTGAATAAGCTTCTCACATCTCCACACACACAGGTACGATGGCTACTTCCACATGGAGCTTTTGCACTGATATGGCAAGCTAACCTTTTCATTGCAGAAGTATGAGGGGAAAGGTGCTTCTCTTAACATTCACAAAGCATAATTCTAAACAGTCTTTCATTAACTTTCCCCTGGGAAACAAAGGCATTCCCAAGGGCAGGAGGCTGAGTTTCTGTGCATGAGTTTTCTGCATTTGGGCCTCGTATGTTTTCAGTCGCCGTTCACTTCCCAGGAATATTGATACTCACAAGGAGGTCTTGGCTTTCCTTCACTAGACTGGCTTTGTACGTCAGAACTTTGTTCTTCTCCTTCTGCAGAATCTGCACATAAGTGCAGAACTGATCCTGGAAGGGGGGGGGGAGTCCCAAAATTAGGGTTTATTTCTTTCCAGAAGTTTAGTATAAACCATAAAAAGCAAAACTGTCATCAAAGGCCTAAATAGACATAAATGCAGGATGTGTTGTGTGACTTGTGTCCCACGCTAACCCTGGCCAGAGGATTAACAGCAACCCCCGCAATAGCAAATTTTTGTTGTTGTTAAAAGCTCCTACCAAAACAATGATGCTCCCTGGTGACTTGGCAGCCCAACCTGCTGGCCAGACATCAGCACAGCCAAGCCTCAAGGAGTGCCCAGGCGTCCTCCTAGCACCACCCCCTGATTAGGAGGGAAGGGCCATGAGCAAGGGAGCAGTCAAGCCAAGAGATGGGCAGCAAAGACAGATGTTGTTGCTCCCGCTCTGGGCCCAAAGCCTGAGAGGTTCACTACAAAAAGTGCCCTGGGACACCCCAGAGTTCAGCTGGGGAGGATCCACACGTCCACCCTATTATCATCCACCTGGCACACTTCCTACCTTGTACTCTTGGGAGGCCTCCTCCACAGGGACGATGTCGTGGTATCGGTGCTCCTGGGACTGCTCACAGACCACGCAGATGGGGGCTTCGTGGTCCCTGCAAAAGAGCTTCAGCGGCTCCTGGTGCTTCTGGCAAATGCTTCCCTTTCTAGCTGCCACGGTTGCCTGAAGCCAAAAACAAGAGAACCGCGTTGGGTTTTATTATTCCCCCCATATTTCTGAACTCTTTCTCTACCTATCCTTGTAGATACTGGACACGATCAGTGGATTAAGCAGAAAGCGAGATAGAACCAAGCTTTTATCAATGCTTCAAATTCCTTTGACAGTCAGTAGATTCGTAACACTTCCTGGTTTGCATTAAACCAGCCACTCCCTGCATCCACTTGCCAGTCACACCTGGCAGATGCACCCCCAACTCCTCAGCTGGGGGCTCCCCTCTCCTCCAGGAACGAGATCTCAGGTAGCATCTGGGACTGCGGCAGGAGAAGGAAGCCAAAAATGAAGAGAACTGGAGCATGATGGCCCAAATACATACCTATGTTGCTTTCAGTGGAAGTGTTGGTTTATTCCGGTGGTTCCCCAACACTTTTAAGCCTCCGCTGGTAACTCTGGGATTCTGAGAGGGTGGTGAGTGCCATCCCAAAATGGCTGCTACGGGAGGTGGAGCCAAACCCAAAATGGCTGCCACAGTAGGAAGGGCCACACAAAAAACATCCTGTCTTGAGTCTAGATTCCAGAAAACTCCAAACTCCCCTTTCTAAAATCTCAGAATGATCACGGGGAATGCTCTGAAAACAGTTTTGAAACAATATCGACATATTTGTCCAGGTATTGTTAACTCGTCTTGGGATGAGGCACGTTCGCCTCTGATACAGCCAACCTTGCCAGTGTTTTGTCTGGCAAGGACATGCATTTTTCTCTGTTTCTGGAGGGCTCCCCACCTCATTCCAGATTGCGAGTTACTGTGGCTTGATACTGGACTAGTCCCTCTACAGTCATTCTGGGCAGGCAGTTTGGTGGCTGGGGGGACGGGAACCACATACTCTGCACTAGGGGTCCCCGGTATGGTGCTGTGGGCGCCATGGTGGCTGTCACCACCTTTCCTGGTGCTTGCCAAGTGTTTTGAGAAAGTTGGTGGGGATTTTGCCCAGGAGGGCTTCTGGGTATGCAGATTTTGAAAAACACTGCTTTGGCAACAGCTTCCACCACAGCACAAGGCTCTTCATTTTGTGAGTAAAGGGAAGGTGCCGCCTCATATGGCAGCCATTTTGTGGCTGCGCCCAGTACACTGTGTCAGAATTCCACAGGTGTCCACAGGCTTAAAAAGTTTGGCAACTTCTGCTCTGGCTATTCCCCGTCTGGCAGTGATCTCTTGGTCTGGCCATGCTGCTAGATGTCAATACAGGAGAGGCAACAGCACACACACACACACACACCACCAATGTTCCCGCTAAGCTGTGGAGTCTTGTAAGCAAAAATTCTACTTTGTGAGCTACTGGCATTAAAGTTGTGAGCGGGTGATTTGGCTGCTGCAAAAAATTAGTTGGCTCTGGAGCCCTCCTTCCTGAGCTAGGACAAAAATGTGTGAGCTGGAGGCTAAAAAACTCTGAGCTAGCTCACACTAACTCAGCTTAGAGGGAACACTGCCCCCCACAACAGATGAGCTATATCACTGCTTCACTGGGAGGAAGTGGATCCTGTCAGTGGGAAGTGGGGGGCACGGGATCCTGAACAAGCTAATTCCGCTACTTACAAAGTGACGTCTCCGGGTGGAATAGATGGCAGGGCTTGCAAGGAGAACGTGGCATTTGAATGGGAGCCAACCTGAAGCTGAATAAGGGGGAGTCAAAACTTAATACTGACATTATGAACAAAGGAGCAGAAACGAGGCTGCTCTGATCCAAAGGGAAATCCTGAGCCAGCCACCAAGAGGCAAGAAAAGCCTCCACTCCTGGTGAAAGGGAGCACAGCTCAGAACAAAGGATCCCGTTACCAACTCTGGTCGTCCAGATGGGGACAGCTAAAGGCCGACCGATTCCCAGTTCGCCGTGGAGCAGCTGGGGCCTAAAATTAAAAGGATTTCTTACAGACCCTTATTTGGATCCCAGCTAAGACTCTTTCTTCCCTCCACCGAAGATACAGCCAGGGACGGCAAAAGGAAATCACAGCTATTCCACAGGGAAGATCCGCAGCGATTTCTTACCTTCTTCTCCCCGGCAGACTTCGCCTCCTCCTCCAGGGGAGTCACCCGGTGACCTCGGTGCTCCCGGGACCGGCTGCAGACCACGCAGAGGGGGGCTCTGTCCTCCCGGCAGAAAAACTTCAGGGGCTCCCCGTGCTTCTCGCAGACGCCCCCCTCGCCTTCTCCCCCCTTTCCCGCCCCCTCCCCTTCCGAAGGGCTGACCTTCTTGGCGATTTCCACGAGGTTGGCCAGCTGCGGGTTCGGCCTGAGGTTCTGGGGCTGAGCTGTTCCTCTGCACTGGGGGCAGGAAGGCTCGGCGGCCCCCGACTCCCCCCAACTGAGGGTCAGGCAGGCCCGGCAGAAGGTGTGGCCGCACTCAGCGATCATGACAGGGTCCCTGAAGAACTCCAGGCAGATGGAGCAAGAGGCCTCCTCGCAGAGCTCCTGCACCGGACCCCCGCCGCCATGGCTGCCTCGGCGAATTGGGGGAGAGCGCGACAGGACGGCCTTAGTTTCGTTTTCCCGCTTCTCAAAGCCGCGACGTTTCCCTTCCTGGAAATCGATTCTGTTGGCGCAGACTCGACAGCCGAGTAATAAAATAGCTGCTAGAAGGCAGAGCTTGGCCAGGGAGACGCCGTGTTTGGCAGGCACCTCAGAGGGAGGAATAGAGACCCTTCCCGTGGCTCTCCATGGTCCGACCACTTTGTCCTGAAGACTCCGTTGATAATCCCAGTCCCTCCCAGTGTTCCCTCTAAGCTGAGTTAGTGTGAGCTAGCTCATCGAGTTTTTTAGCCTCTGGCTCACACATTTTCGTCTTCGCTCAGGAAGGAGGGCTCCAGAGCTAACTGATGTATGCAGTAGCCAAATCGCTCGCTCACAACTTTAACGCCAGCAGCTCACAAAGTAGAATTTTTGCTCACAAGGCTCCACAGCTTAGAGGGAACATTGGACTCCCTCCTTGCTCAGGCAACAAGATGATTTATGCTATCCTGCGGAGACTGATGGATCCAGTTGCTTTCCAGAATGCTCTGGGGGATCCAAGGCCCCCAGGCAACCCCTTAGATGTACTGGTAGAGGACTGGCATAGCCCTCTCTCTGAAGCCATTGAGGAGATCGCTCCCCAGTGCCCTCTTCACCCTCATAAGGCGAGGTTAGGCGATCGCCTAAGGGCGCGAGAAGAGAGGGGCGCCACTGGCCTGCCGGCCCTCTCCTCTCCGAAAGAGTCACCCTCAGTCCCCGGCTCTGCTTCGGTGCAGCCGGCCGAAGCACAGTTCCTCCTTCCCTCCTGGCGCTTGACCACAGGCCAGTTAGTAGGGCAGTGGATTGGTTGTCTGTCGTGGGCGGGAGCCATGTATGTTGGTGGGCGGGCGGCGCGGGGCGAGTCCATTTCGGGGGCAGGCCACGGCCGGCAGGCGCATTCGTTTTTTTAAGAGATTCCAAGGACTCCGGAGGAGAGGCTATAATAAATTATCCCCTCTCTCGGCCCCCGCCCCACCCCCAGCAACCGTGCGGGAAGGAAACGGCCGCCGCCACCACCGCGTTGCCAAACGTTCTCATTTTCCCCTCTGCAAGGCTGTTGGGGGAGGGAGGGAGGGAGGGAGGGCGGAGCTGTTATGTATTGCATTGTATATAACTGCTATGTGAACTGTGTAAATACTGATGTGTGAATCGACTGATTGAGATGCCATGTTGAGCTTCATGCTGGGCTAGGATCCTAATGTAACCAATAGGAGCCCTAGCCCAGAGAGTGTCTACCAATCACGCTGTAAAGCGGGACCGCTTGTGATTGGGCTTTATATCTTCAACCTCATAGGTTGTTATTTGTACAGAGGGTGTGGCTACACTAGCCGGGAATGTTTAAATACAGAGCAGCCAGTGCTTGTCCTTCGGCT